ACTCAAATGTAATCAAAATACAACAATGTACAACTAAGGGAATCAATAGGAACAAAGTACAAGTATATACATGGAGGGATTTTCACCAACACATAAAACCTTCAAAATGGATCTTACAGGAAGTTTGGGATACCATCAGGTCCTAAGCATCGGGATGAATCAAGTGATTGAAGACATCTTTAAACATCAGTTTCAGTGAAACTAGGAACACAGATATTCATTAAACCTATGGATATAGGGAGCATCAGATGACTGACGTACAAAAGACTTATTTAAGTCACAAACATTCAGCTGGTCATCGCCCCTAATATATCTGTCATTTTTAAGTTCTTTAAAGAGTTTCCACATACGAGGTAAGAGTTTTTAGATAAACATAGAGTTCAGACCTCTAATCTCTAGGTTAATCAGACCATTTAGCTTACGAACTTCATTAGAGTTTTTCTCCTTGTACTTTCTTTATTTCACCCTCCGTAGTCGTTTTAGTTGTGGAGATGTAAGTTGGTCAAAACTTACAAGAATGGTTTCAGTGGGACAATAAATATCGGAACAGAATCTAAGGCAACAAATAATAACATCAGTAGTGTTTTCCAGTGAGTCATCTGTAAATAATTCCCAGTTAGTAGTATGAGACATGCTTTTCGGATTTTGGATATTTTCTTCTGATTTATTCCTATATTTGACTTTCTTGGTTTGATGTAAGAGTATACTTGTTCGATGCTTTCCATATACTTCAGGGTAGAACACAAATAATACAGTGATCCAAAATAGAAAACGAAGCACTTTACGAGTCAGATATATACCCACATCATTAATGAAAGCAAAGTCTAAATTATCATCCAAACGAGTAGGAAAATCTACTACATTTTTGTGACCTAGTGATGTAAAGAACATACAGTCAAAAGAACTGAAATCGCCCCATACAACTGAAAGTGAATCACTGAAAACAGTAACAGCGAACTCAGTGCATTCATCAGCAAAAACAGATAGCGCAGATGATGTGAAGTCTGGAGACATTTAATTCAGAACAAGTGAAATATGTGAACAATATTACATCATTACAAATGGTCTCCAGAATTCAACTTCTACCATAGAGTAAATCACTTGATTTCAGCTATGAAACAATTTGTAGACGTGAATAAGCATAAACACTTGATTACAGGGTTCCCAAAATCCCACTAATGCCAAGCGTGAACTCTGACTACGCTTCATATTCTATTAGTGCTCACACTTAACACAAATGGTAATTTCAGCTAAGTCGAATTTCTAACCTTTTGTTTCTGCGAAAATTGCGGTGACGTAAAGGAAAACAAGATACACACTTAGTAAGCACGAGAGCTTGGATTTAAGGATTCTCATATATGAATCTTACCCTATCTAGCTATGCACCATAAAGAGTAATACAGACTAGCCATGCTGTAATTGTATCCGAAACTAAAACCACCAATTTAAACTGGACTATTCGCACACTTTTCAACGAAGTGCACTGTCAACACTTTTTGTCACTATTTATCAGCCAGAAAATATAAACCATCTGGTTTAATGAACAAGACTATATAAACAACATTTAATGCTACTAGATCTAACTGCGAAATAAACTATTTCCCCAAAACTATAAAAACAATAAATTTGTGTTAAAAAATAATTTATACTTTTGTTAAATCAGGAATATAAACATCAGGTACAAACGTATATATAAAAGCATATATTATTGACTGGTTACTTTTAAAAGGAATGAATAATACTTTAGCGCTCAAAATAAAATGAGTAGTTTTGTGTTCATTTATCTATATCAAAAGGATTGTCAAAATATCTTTTCACTTTGCACTATTACATAAACATTCTAATAACTTATTTCTATCAATCTGAAAAGATTGCCAATACGACACCATTTGTAAACCAGTATCAACATTGTTATTATTATTAGAGTTGCTCTCAATCATCCCGTCCACTATTGACACGAAAGAAAAATTGGCCTATCGAATAAAAACGAATAGCTAAATAAAATATAACAATCACCAAATTAAAGCATTAGAATTAATTTTACAAATGAATAAAGACAATTAAGACATGGCAAGGCAGCGACTGAATCCATACATAAGCGAAATCATCACATATTCTTTACTCATTTAACTTCAAATGAACTTGGTTTCGTTATATTAAATTTAAAAGCAAACAATCAAAAGACACATGAATGCTTAAAAGTCGTCCAGTACTTCCTTAAGTATGCCTTGATTGGTGCTCTCTGTTTTGTACTATAGAATATTCAACTTCCTTTTGTGGATGCTGAGACCTACTGCTGTAAAGGTAGCTGCAACACTGGCTGTCTTCACCTGCATTTGTTTTTGCGTATGGGATAAAAGAACTAGATTATGTGTCAAGTTTCAATCACTTAGCTGCGTCCGAGGTTTCCACTGTATTCAGAGCTTTCCTTGAGATATGGAGTTCTTAATAATCCGTGCAACAGCCGGTGGAAACAGAAAAGGCTATAATAGTCAGTCTTTATTGACACCAGTCTTCACTTAGAATGCATCTGCGAGCTCCTCTCCATGCACAACTTTTCAGCCCAGTCCTTCATTAGTTTTATATGATAGTGACTATTTTCCCACGTATTCCATTATGTCGAGGGAAACTCCTTAGGGTTTTTGACGCACGCTTTTGAATACTTTCTTATGATTTGGGTGTATAGTGACGAGTTCCATTCAATTGGTTGTTCAAAAACGATTCGCTGTGTCGCGATTTGGTCGGTATATGATTCATCCTTACGAAAGCCAGCTTGTTAATCTTGATATTGACCATCTACTGGATCTTTCATTCGGTTCGACAAACCTGTTGGCATTTGTTCTTCCTGTCAGATCTTTCGTAAAAGAATGTGCAACATCTTCATAGTTCCCGCCGTATGTGGGTCTAAGGCCTCAGCTAGTATGTTGTTTGGTCGTCCTGCTTTGCCATCCTTGGTCCATCTGGTGGTCTTGGTGGTTTTATCTACTATTCGTGTGGTATCATCTATGAGGAGGTTTGTTGTGTTGCTTTGCTTTGATATTCGGTGAGTTCAATAACTTTGTTTCATTCAACAGCTCTTAAAATTTGCCTACCCATCTGTTTCGCTAGCCTTAAACCGGTGATTGGTTTTCCTTTTTCATCTTTGACTGGTCGTTCTGGTTTACTGTACATCGCTTTGCTAGCTCCTTTGTTGTATCATGCAGTCTGTTGTGACGGGCAGTGTCCGAAATCGGATACTGATACACGGTGTATTACGCGCTAATACCCCCAACTGACTACTTGAGCTACTTGGGCTACCGAATAAAATGCACAAATACTCATTCATAAATATACGATACTGATTTTCAGGAAATTAATACAACTTTTTTACCAGTGAAATGCACTTGTACTTTAGGTCACTTCAGGATTGTCGTCTATTGACCTACTCAATAGGCTACTACTGACTGGCTCTTCATATCAGCTTTCCCTCCTGAAAAATAAATCCTCCTCGTTGGATTTAATTGAAGGCGTTGAGAGGATTGTTAGATCATTAAATTTGACTGTACATTGTGATAAGTCTTGTTAATTTGAACGCTTTATTCGGTTCCTAAGCTATTCTGGTAACCCGCGAGCTAGAACTACGCAGCGACCTGAACTCGAGAGAAAAAGCGCGAAATAAGCGAAAAACACTTTACTCCAAAGGTTCATTTTTGTACAGAAAAACACGGATATTCATAGATGTTAACATTTGTTAAATCAACATCATATTTTGGTCAATCCGCTAAAAGACATATTATGCTACTGACTAATAGTAGCACACCACGTTGATATTCTAGAAAGCTCCATCATGCTCTGATTGGCTAGAACTCTTCGGTTCCTTTAGGGCCTCTGGAGGTTCCGTTGCAGTTCTCGGAAAGCCAACTCAACACCTCCCCTAAATAAGATTTCTTTCTAGGATCTACTTGTAGCTTGACAACTGGGTCTCGGCGGCATCCCATTATTCTTGTCGTCTTCCTTGTCCGAGGCTTCTTTTCTGTGTCCTTGGAGATATGTAGCGTTGTTGCGTCTAAGATTAACTTTAACGGAGAATTCGGCCGGTTATATCGAGTCTGCATCGTTCTTTTGTCCTTATGGATTTGATTCGTATGTCGTATGCAAGTTCCAAAAGTTCCTCGGACTCTGTACAGTACGTTTCCCAATTTTTGTACAACTTTTCCCGGCTCACATCGGTTTTTACCTATGTAGGATTAAATGAAAACTTCATCGCGAACATTAAATCTGAAGATATTTGGATTGTGACTGTGCACATCCACTAATTTGGATGGAAACATGGCGCTGATCACAATTGATTCCAGGATGGCCACTGTGAAAATGCTTGAGAACCTCGTGACGTAATAACAATTCGACCACCGAACCATTAGTGAGTCTCGCCGACGAAAATATTGCAAACGTTCTCCGTCAAGGAGATTGTTTGGCCATTTGGTCAAGAAATAGCATTTAACTGTGCTCAATGTCTTATCACTTTCAGTGATTTTCTTGATAATCCCAAAGGTTACTGGGAGTCTATCGATTTCGTCATCCAATACGCGATGAACTTCTTTCTTAGTTTTTATATTTGCTACAAGAGTTTCCTCTGGAGTTTTTCATAGGGAGCCTATTAATCTTGACAATGCGTCAGCTTGCCTGAGGGCGGTATTAGACTGATAATTGATTTTGAAGTCGTTGAGGATGACACAGGTATTCAGTGTTTGACAACGCTTTTACCAGCAACACCTAATATAATTCATACCCGCCAAGAGAAATCAAAAGACGGAGTCGAGGAGATCGGAAGAGTGTATTTGGCGATAACCAATATATCGGAGTTCTCTGGTCTAATCTGGCTAGCGATTGCGGTACATGTTGAGCACAGCGTTATCACACGTGATCTGGTGCGGATGCATGACTGAGCGCCGTCAGCTAGGTGAGTCCACTAAAACTAATCTGGTCAGCATCCAATGTCGAAAACTTACAGAGCTATTTATTTTGGGGATTTATTTACCGCTACATCGTACCCACAAGTGTGGTTGCCCATCGTTGGAGTCGGTTAGCTGTGTGAACAGGAATCCCTTTCTTTGACCCGAAAACTGCAAGTGGTGGCTTATGGTCTGTCATTAGGGTAAGATGTCGGCGATATAACATGTTGTGGAACTTTTTCACTGTAAATATAATCGGTAGGGTCTCTTTCTCAATTTGACTGTAGTTCTTTTTGGTCGTTGTCAAAGATCTGGAAGCGTGGGAGATAGCTTTTTCGGACCCATTAGGAAAAACGTGAGAGATGGCTGCGCCCACACCATAGTTAGAAGCATCTGAAGCAACGACTATCGGTAGCGAAGGATTATAATGTAAGAATAAGAGATTAGAAGTTAGGAGTTGCTTTATTTTCTCGAAAGATGCTTGACAGTCTGCAGACCAATTCCATCTTGTTTTCTTTTCTAGTAGGTGGTTTAGTGGAGAAAGTAGACGATGCATATCGGAGAGGAAAGTACCATAACGGCTGACCAATCCTAAGAACGTTCGTAGAGTAGTGATGTCCTCGGGTCTAGGGATTGTTCTTACAGCTTCAATGTTTTATGGATCTGGTCGTCTTCCGTCCTCATCTATTATGAACCCAAGGTACCGTACTTGCTGCATATAGAAGTCACACTTTTCTGCTCGGAGGCGAAAATCATAATCGGTTTGGGTTCTAGTACCTGATCCAGTTTCTTCCGCAGGTCCATTTTGTCTGCTGTCATAATTATGATATCGTCTAAATAAGCTGCTGCCCCTGGAATACCTTGTAACATGGTATCCATAATTTGCTGGAAAATAGAGGGCTCTATCTTCACTCCAAAAGGTAGTCGGTTATACCGGAACAGACCTTTGTATGTGTTGATCGTTAGGAGATCTTTGCTTTCATCAGATACCGGGATTTGTAGATACGCGTCTGATAAGTCCAATTTCGCAAAATATCTACCACCGTTCAGCTTAACGTAAAGAACTTCCGGTAAGGGTAACGGATACCGGTGAGACTCTAGAGCTTCATTCAATCCGGTAGAGTAGTCTGCACATAGATGGACGCTTCCATTCGACTTCTTGACCACCACCACTGGTGCAGCCCAGTTCGAGAAGTTCACAAGTCCGACAACACCCATTTCCTGAAGTTGCTGTAATTCTTGTTCAACGATTGGAAGAGCAGCATAAGGTAAAAGTCTTTTAGTTCGAAAGACGGGAGTAGCTGTAGGTTTTAGGGTTAACAATGCATTGGCTTTCGTAAATTCCCCCAATCCTTCATTAAACACGTCGTGGCGTCTTTGTAGCATGACATTTTTCTGGCTCCACTCTAAGGTGATGTATCAAGCTGAAGGCGAGTACGGTGTTTATTAATATCTAAAGCTACCTACTTTCTTTGGTGGTAATTCCGTGCTTCATTATGTGATACCAATATTGTTTTTGTTAATACGCCAGACCTGTATTTCTTGAAGTAGGGTTTTGCAGAACATATTTTATGGTTTCTTTTTCTGCAGTTGGTTTCTATATGGCCCTTCCGATGACACTCACTGCAACAATGTTACTATAGCGTTCATGTTCCGTCGTCCCAAGTATTTTTAGAAGTATACTGACTTTTGAGACGTCATCAACTCTGCAGAGATCAATTTAGAACAAATCTTCATATTTCCCAAACCAAGAATCAAAAGTAACATCTGCTGCACCGTAAAAATTAAATTCATGAATGGCATGAATGATTGAAACAATATGAGATACTTGTTATTCAGCAAAACAAGGGTTTTGCTGAAACAGGAACAAGTTCAGCATTACGGCTTCCATGATTCTTGTTAATTTGAACGCTTTATTCGGTTCCTAAGCTATTCTGGTAACCCGCGAGCTAGAACTACGCAGCGACCTGAACTCGAGAGAAAAAGCGCGAAATAAGCGAAAAACACTTTACTCCAAAGGTTCATTTTTGTACAGAAAAACACGGATATTCATAGATGTTAACATTTGTTAAATCAACATCATATTTTGGTCAATCCGCTAAAAGACATATTATGCTACTGACTAATAGTAGCACACCACGTTGATATTCTAGAAAGCTCCATCATGCTCTGATTGGCTAGAACTCTTCGGTTCCTTTAGGGCCTCTGGAGGTTCCGTTGCAGTTCTCGGAAAGTCGACTCAACACATTGTACATTCTAGAAATTGTGATTGGGATGCCCGATGGATTATTTATGCAATCGATAGTAGGATCAATGCTTGTCCGACCAAGTTCGTGCTAAGTTTAGCAAGAAATCAAAGTAATATCGGATTCAGTGTCTAACTGCAAAGTCATAACGCGTTCATTGACAATAATTGATGAACACTTGCATAAGCCTTTGAGGTTAGATTTCCACAATGCATTTACACAACTTATCAATTTTGGGCATCGACAGTGGGATGGGGGTTCGCTGCGTTTGTTCGACCGTTATTGACTGCTGTTTTCTTGTTTTTCCTTTTCTGAGTCGTGTCAGCGTTACCTATGAATGTCCGTACGTCACGCTGGTGCATCTCGCAAATAAGTGAATTCACCTGTGTAAAGAGTGGGAGATATCATTGTTTTGGGACACACACTATGTGGAGTCATGACTCTTCTATATGAAGACTTTTCAATTCCCAGTGTAGAGTTAGGGTGGCTAAGATAATTTGTTCTGGTTAACGTGCTTTTAAGGAATTTTTTCTTACGTCGTAAGATTGCTAACCCAACACCTATCCGTTCTCGTTTACCAGGGTTTGGAACCAACAATAATCCTAGAGGATATCCAGGTGAATGTCTGGGATTTCTAAACATGTAAACATACTTATAACATCCAATTTGTTTTCTTTTGTAATTCCATCCAATTAACATTTGTAAAAGTTGATTTCGATTCTGCCGTAGTCGTTGGATATCTGTTTATTGTAAGTTTCCATAATTTGTGTTCTTTATTCTCCTTTTCATAATGTTTGCCATTATAATTTCAACTCAGCTGTCATACACAGCTTATCGTATTTTCATATGAATAACTTTCCAAATTCTTTTTGGGAAGCATACTTCTTTGACTGTACGCAAACTCGGTAGATATCGTAAACAAATTGACGTTCGTACTGCGTTTCATACATATAGGCAATAACAGTACAATAATTGTAGACAATCTTGTCAAGGATTTTACGCGTCACTCATTCACATGGTTGTTAACTTCGATCCTATGGGTAGGAACTTTGATATTCCTAGGGTTACACACACGACCAATCAACTATTTCATAATAAAAATAAACTTGTCATGGAATCTGGCACACACCATCATTAACTATTGTTCTTCTGGTTGCTGTGTCAATGTCTCGTTCACTGATGAAATCCCCCGACGATAATTTCAAACAACCCGAAATTTAGAACTTAACGCGATAGTTTACTCTAACGGAACACTGTTCGCATTATTCAGACACCTTTATGTCATTTTTATTGCATAATTTGACACAAAGAAACTATAAAACACAACAAGCATGTCAGTAAACATCATTATGTATGGTTTGTTTCGTAATTTTGCCACACACTAGTCAAACAACATGGAAATTCGACGTAACCGATAGCCTTCAAGATAATAAACAATACTTAAATCGTAGAGTAACCATGGCTGAAACATAATGTCCAGCTTGATCATATTATCTGAGTTCAAAACTTACATTCTATGTTACGTTAATAAAATCCCTTTAAAGTAAAATGAAACATTAAACTAAATCAATAACACCCAAGAAATCCTTCCAAAACCCAAGTACATTTTAGCAGGTCTATCCGATATCTTTATTCACTTTAAATCCAGCCATCGACGAAATTCCGAAAACAGATTTGAGGGAAGCAGATGAGACAAACATGTTAACTGACGAAAGTAACAAGTGCTAAATGAAGTAAATCGTACATTTCGTTATTTTCTCAATTACGCTAGTGGTACATCCTAAAAACACTAAAGAGTTGAATTATATGTGACTGATTAGTGTCTGACTATTTATGTTGTGGTTAACATTCGTTGATATAAGGGTTTCATCAAATAAATTCCAGACACGTGATTATACATCAGACTTGCAAAAACATATAACATCATTTGTTCAAAGGTAACTAACTAGATGAACAAGATCCTGGTTTGTCGTTACGATATTCATTGCCAAAAACACGTAACTTATCGAAATAATTCATGTACTATCAGAGAACCAACTATACATCATGGTGTTTTGTTTTAATACGTTATAAGTTTATCATTCTTACAGATAACATAGATTACCTGAAGGACCAAGTTATATACGTGAATTGATTATCACTTTGGTCCTACAATTTAGCTCTTGTTTTAAACTGACAAATGTTAATGGATGATAACTAACAAGAGACAAATCTAAAACATTTCAATAGCTGATTTTCTAATATCTAACGCCTATCGCGGTTTATTTATTTTATGTCATAAAGTACAAGATGTTTACTATAACCGATCACCACGACTAGTCACTGGTGCGACGCTAACCGATAAGCGGTTATATGAAATAAATTTTAAATTACGTTTGCTAGCCTCAATAACGTGCTATAAAATGTCAACTATAACCGAGTGTCGGATATAATTAGCAACTAATTCCTGTGCAGAAGCATATGATTTAAGAATATTGCATGATTGTCAAGAATCGATCAGCCAGGTATATTGTGTTTAAGATTTTTTGCCATTAGAATTGTAAAAAGTATGATTTACAATAATAAATTGATGAGGACAGTTTTATCATACTTATCATCATCAACGTCAGGAAAAAAATAACCAAACACAGATGTAGACTTACATTGTGTTTCCCGCACTTCTTAAATTCGGAGTTACAAGCGACATTAGAACTCGTTCGATTTCTAATCAAAAACAGCAGAATGTTAATCGTTATGACTGCTAAAAATTATATTGGTGAAATACAAATCCATATTACTGATGTTTGCTTGTTTTACTCTATAGAAAAAATAGTTGGATATTTAGGTTCTGTTTTAATATGTCGGAAGCGTCATGATATTTCAATACATTGTGGTAGTTAACGCTTGGATTCAGGATACTCACCATACTACGGACAGATGTACTTAGATTCGACAGTTTCGAGAAACAAAGCATTTATAACTAGAATAAATAGTGCGTTTTATTTCACGTAAGCATGAGATAAAGAGATAAATAATGATTATATAAAGCATTTTGCTTTCTGAATGTAAACTACTAAACTTTACCACGCTTCAACTTATTCGGTATAATGGAATATAAATTTGAGTAAAGAACTTCGCGAAATTTTCCTCGCTCGAATCGAATGTATAGTGTACATGACTCAAATTTGCGTCACTGTACAAAGCCTTACACTAGTTATTGGAACTGTGGGGCACGGCATTTCTCGCGTTTCTGCCCATTCAATGAACATAAATGCGCAAAATATGGAGTAACTGACCATAAGGAGGGATCCAGATGATCCCATTGTTTATGGTTCTGATAAGGTAGTTCATGACCAGACTTATTGCTTTATTGAGTCGTTTAACCAAAAAGAATATTATGGTGGATCCAAATGAGTGTTCATTTTGTTTATCTAGTTTCTAATGTCTTGGATACCTAGCTGATGGTAATGATTTAAGACCACATATGAAACGACTAGCTCGATTGACAAATGCACTGTCTCCAAAAAAATCTTACAGAATTGCGTTCACTAGTGAGTGCTCTTTAATACTATTCCCGTTTTATTCCTAATTTTTCTTGTCGTGCCAATTGTTTATTTAATATTTTGACATCCAATTCATTCAAATGGGGTGAGGAACAAGAGTCATGCTTACGAAGTTTACTAAAGTTTCTTCAAAGTGATGCTGTTCTTCGAACTTACTCCCCTAGCGTACATTCTATGCTTATTACTGATGCATCACCTGTGGGTATTGGCGCAGTCTTGAAGCAGGAAGGTAGACCAGTTATCTATGTTTTACGCAAACTTACTGCTACTGAACAAGGTTATTCATAAACATAGAGAGCAGCATTAGCTGTGTTTTGGACTGTTAAAAGATTTCATAAATATTTACTCAGAAAGAAATTCACTATTGTTACTTATCACGAAGCTTTAAAGTTCATTCATCATCCTGAAAAATCCTTAGCTGCTACGGTTAAACGACGGAGTATTGTTTTGAGCGCCTATGACTTTACGGTCCAGCACAGGAATGCCAAACAAATTCGAAACGTTGACTACATTTCTCGGAAATCATTACAAGATAGACCTGTTAAAGCTTCAGACTGTTTGTTAGTGCAACCTTTACCGGTGAAACGTCCAGATCTCATGAGAGAAACTCGTATGTACTTTGGATGTATACTCAGTGCTATACGAAAAGGTTGGGATGCTAATCTGAAACGTAGATTTCCTGTCTATTTTTTAAAGTGAGATGAGTTATCCACTACTCCTGATGGTATTTCGTCTTTAAATGATCGTGCTGCTATTCCTCCTCTATTGTGTAAATTTGTCCTTGAAGATTTTCATAGTGGACATTTGAGTATTGAGAAAATGAGGTCCTCGGTAAGGCTCACATGTCGGTGGCCAGAGATAAATGCAGATATATTTTGTACAACAAATAATTGTGGGAAATGTCATAAGTTGAAAAATCAGCCTTCAAAGTGGACTCCATGGCCAGTATCGTTTGAGGTCTGGCAGAGAATTCATGTGGACTATTGTGGTTCGTTTCTTGGCAAATACTATGCACTTGTGGTCATTGATTCTTTTTCGAAGTGGTCTGAGGCTTTTTCACAACTTCACCAAATTCTGACTTCACAGTCCAGGATTAAAAAAGGTGTTTAGTCGAGAACGGGTTCCCATGGTGGTAGTGACTGGTAATGGTCCTCGTTTTGTTGTGGATGCAGTCACTGCCTGGTTGAATGGTATAGGGTGTACACATCTGTTTACTGCTCCCAGACACTCTTTTTCTAACGGTCAAGCGGAATATTTTGTCGCGACATTGAGACTGCTATTGATTTTATCGCTGCTTCAACATTTAATGAACTGGAGAGGGGAGTAGATACATTTCTACTGCAATATAGAAATGCTAAACATTCTGTGACGAAAGAGACTCCATCAGAGCTATTAAAAGAAAGAATTCTTTGTTTGAATATTAGGTGTTTGGAGTCTGCAGAAGTTACATATTATCGTGGGAATGGTCTTCAATCAGTCACGGAGATTGTAATGAACAATGTCGGAAAATCTACGGTGCGAAGTCTATAAATCAATGACTTAAGTATACACAACTGCAGGTGAAAACACACAGTGTATCGGAAGCCTCTGCAGCAGTAGGCCTCAACATACACAAGAGATAAAGAAAGATCCTGAAATCCCACACAGAACACCAACCCAATCTCACTTTATGGAGAAGCTCTGGAAGATGTAGAATCTCTCACGCACCTGGACAGAATCGTCGATAAACAACGGGGATCTGATGCATGTGTGCGGGCACGCATTGGCAAAGCAAGGACAGCATTCCTACAATTGAAGAACATATGGAACTCAAAACAACTGTCAACCAATATCGAAGTCAGAATCTTCAATACGAACGTCGAGACAGTTCTACTGTATGGAGCTGAAACGTGGAGAACAACTACAATCATCGACAAAAATATACAAGTATTTATAAACAGTTTTCTACGCAAGATATTCAATGTCCGTTGGCCTGACACCACAGCGACAGCCTACAGCAGGAGAGGACATACCAGCTTCCAACTGAAGAAGATATAAGGAAAAGACGCTGGGGGTGGGTGGGACACACATTGTGGAAATCACCAAACTGCAATGCGAGGCAAGCCCTAGCTTGGGACCCTGTAGGCAAAAGGAAAAGTGGAAGGTCGAAGAACACACTGCACAGAGAATTGGAGACAGACATCAAAACAATGAATAGTAATGGGAGACAACGAAATAGGATTGTCTGGGTCAGAGTTCAATGGAGAATCCGGGTAGGTGGCCTATGCTCCTCTACGATGGGTAACAGGCAATTTTCAGGGCGATCACAATACTCAGATTTTGTTGACAATGCGGAAATCTTTTCTAATTCAATTTTACGCATGAGCTGTAGCTTTTAATGATTGGTTGTTATTACTTCCAGTTAGCTAAATTTCTATATGCTTGAAGGTCATATTATTGTAACTATACATTTACGGAGTTGTCTATTTGTTTTGCGATACTTCTCCTACCTTAAATATCAGGTTTCCCTATCTATGCGTTAGCTGTCGGGTGTTGTTTGTGAAGTGCCGTTATCGTCCACGAAACAAACTGACCACATTTGGGTACGTAACTCTCCAAGTATTGTAGACCAATACTAAACTTCAATGACGAGATACAACATTTACTATTATTACCATCATTATTTTATTATTATTATCATTACGTAAAACGAGGTGATGACGTATATCTGATAGATCCATTGACATTATAAACAAAATGTCCACAGAATTTTGATAGTAATCGGACGACTATCATTTTTCTGTTTGATTAGGAAAAAGAGAAGTTCTCAAACTAAAACAATTAATTTAATGCCTTCCTATGAGATACTGACAAACTCAACGAATTCAAGAAGGCTTTCAGCAACAGATTCCAAGCCTGACAACATCTACTGAACGGAGAAACCACTATGGAGGACAACTTGAAAGGTATCGAAGTAGCAATAACTTGAAAGTGTCAAGAGGTTCTAGCCCAATAGAAGCATCATCATCATAAGGAATCGATCTCTTTCGAAAACCTGGACAAGATTCAAGAAACGAAGAACACAAAGACAGCAACTAACAACAGCCGAACACGAGCAGAGATATTCAAGGCAAAGGCTGAGTACACAGAAGCAAACAAGCACATGAAAAATAGCAGTAAAGCCGACAAGCAGAAATACGTGGAGGAACTAGCAACTACAGCAGAAAGAGCTACAAGAAAAGGAAATGTGACGCAACGAAATATAGAAAACCAGAGAGATCGGTCAGGGGCAAGAGGGCAAGCTAATCATGGAGACTCGAGAACAGAGGAACAGATGGGTAAAATACCTCGAGGAACTGTTGAATAGACCAGCTCCATTGAATCCACCGGTCATTGAAGCAACACATACAGATATTCCTATTGATGTCACTCCATCAACGATCGAAGAAATCAGGATGTCCATCAGACAAATCAGGAGTGGGAAAGCAGCAGGACCTGACGATATACCAGCTGCAGCACTGAAGTCAGACATTGAAGTAACTACAACCATGTTTCACCTTCTATTCAAGGAGATTTGGGAGGAGGAGTATGATAAAGCTTTTGACAGCGTGGGCAGGAGAATATTATGGAAAATTATTCCACACTATGGAGTTCGAGAAAATTGTTAACACTATCCGGCACTCATACGACGGACTACAGTGCAAATTGGTTCATGGATGACAGCTGACAAATGCATTCCAAGTAAGGACCGGAGTCAGATAAGGCTGATTACTCTCGCCCTCTCTTTTCCTTATAGTGGTTGACTGAATTATGAAGACCCCGACATCTGAGGGGAAGCACGGTTCACAATGGACAGTGTGCACGCAACTACACAACTTAAACTTTGAATATGAAGCACATGACCTGTACATCTGAGAACCTTTCGGGCTATTTAGATTTTTAGCGATGCAATCATTCTTGCAAAGCATCAGTATAAGCAGTTGAGGAAGACTTGCAAACCGAAAAAGTCGCTGCCAAATTCACCTTACAAAACTGAGAGCGGTTCTTGCCATTATCATAGATATGATTTGGGAGTTGCACTTTCATTGGTTACAACTTTTGCTCTCCCTGAAAATCACATGGGCAGCAATCACTCTTTATCATCTTGTGAAAGTTTATTTAGCCCAAAGCATTGTACAACTCCATATCAACTATATTTGTGGCACATAAGCTCCGTTGATCTTAATGTCCTATAGTCACTGAAGTTCATAAAAATCGATCTCCTTAGTATCCCAAAATCAATACTTGCAGATGACATGTATAAACCTTCAACCAGTATTCATGAATGTGGATAAATGTTCTATTCCAAATCAGAATATTGAGTCTAGGGCAGGTCTCTCATGAATTACTCATATTTGAGCTATTTGTCCGAAATTCACATGATCATCAGTTTCCACTTATCAAAACAATTTGGGCTAACCATTCATATGGAATAGTAGTTTTATTAATTACTATCACGGTTAGACTATAATGAGGTCGCGAAAACCTCCCACAACTAAATAAACCGTATTAAAGTAAACAAACTACCTGTAACACTAGTTGCAATTCTTGCTCACCGCAGTTATACTTTTGTTCTTTCAGTTTAGCCTAATAATGCAAATACGGTTAAAAATCAACTCGTACGGACAGCATATTAACATGAAAATCAACTGTCGTTTTGATTCAATTCAAAAATAATACAAATATCAACGTTTCTACATTATTGGTTGTTGTTCTATTTCTATTTCTATTGCTATTACTGCCTATATCTGAAGATCTTAACCAAAGGTGATTACCATGTACCTTAACATGACTTTCTGAAATACCTCTGTATCAAATCATTTTTCTTTATAGTAACCCCACTTTGTCTAGTAATTGAATAATGTTCACATAGGTTTTTATTTTGAGTGTGTTAAGAATGTATTCAAAGGTTTTGAAATTATGACGTGTTTTTCGATCAGTCGCTGCTACCTTCTCTTTGATTTATCTTTCAGTTTACCAAGGTCCGGAGGATTAACATCATTCTATTCGTAACCCAGGATGCTCAACAATCCCACTCTATATGGCAGCGAACGAACGTCATGTTGGTTCGAGTGGAAGAGTGGTGTAATTATATTGGTTATAACCACATGTTACTCAAAGCTGAACATAGAATAATTGAGAAAATTCACATTCAACATTTAAGACTGAGAGAAGTTCAGCAATGTCGAAAATAGCGGAAAATAATCGAACGCACATAGCTCGGTCATGCAGATGTGGTCATATAACCCTGCACTTGGCTTAAATATATTCTTCAGAAGTGCTAGGCGACATATTGCTGATTGCTACGATATCAGTAGTCACTGTAGACAATGATGTGACTTTCACGTAAGATCTTATATATTATGTAGTCACATAATTACAAATCTACAATTTCGAGATTAGGTCTTTTATTAAAGTAGTACTAATATCGAACTAGACCATAATTATACATAATCTCATAATAATCAAAACAATGAACTATTTTTTTAAAGTTATACTTACCCATCACGAATAGAACATCACTAAGCTCAAATTTATATCAACCATGATCTGAGGTAGCCACATGGTTTGTTTTTCAGTTCTTATAGCGTTTTTAACAATAATTGATCTGCTTCAGCCGGAGGAAACATACTAAGCGATCAAATTATAGTAATCTTTTTCTCAAATGACAGTATGTTACATGATTTACCCCATTTTAAAAGCAAGATCTAATTACTTCAAGTGATGCATGCTTCACTGTAATAAGGCAATCAGATAGGTTGATATGTTATAGAGAACATTGGACACAAAACCAGGGAATAACATCTCTCACATATGAATATACGTAACGTTGGTAAGACTCAAATTATCACTATAAAAGTTGACGCGTTTTATTAAGGTTGCGTTTCAACGTGCAGCTGATGGTCGAGAATAAACCCATGTAAAGCTGAGAGCTTCCAGAAAATACAGCCTTATATCCCTCTGTAATATCTGAAGTATTATTGATAGAGCAGCACGAAGTCAAATTTTCTATTTGTTTTCGGTGGTACATCACGAGGATGCTGAAGAGGAGACTGAAAAAGGAAGGACGAGAAGCTGAGCAAACAATGCTCATGACTATTGAAGTTGATTCATTCGTGATCCAGTAATTTAGTATGACTTCTTAAACTTGTTTTCTATTTCTGAGTCAGTATTTAAGCAAGTACATTTTAGTAGTAAACAAGTCAAAGTACGGCGATGAACGAATAATGGAATGTATAAATGGAGGCGCTTTGCAAAGCGGCTGACAGTTCAGGATTTTGTGTAGTTTTAAAGTGTAGTACGAAAACACAATATTCAAATATGTAAATGGCTTAATCGCTCTTTATATCCTATTTTTCGCTAAATCTATTACAACTCATCTTCATTTCTAAAGATTTGCAGAGTCATAAGGGGACTTCATTTTAGCGTAATTGTTCAGATTTGCTTGTAATAGGATTTCTTCGGTAAGAAATGAAACCAATTCAAGGCTACAGACGTAAGTCAAAGAGGTATTTAGCATTATAAGTTAGCATCGATACCATTAGTTAGTTACATTAGAAAACTCAGTTTAGCACGGTAGTCTTAGGTCACGGATGCTTGCGAATATATTACATCAGTAGTACAAAATCGACTAACCCCCTCAACGTTTGTACACATGAATCGGATTGGAACTAGTCGTGCCTGGGTCTCCAAAATAGTGAGGAACTAGGAAAGCGGGTATGGGGAGTCTGAATGATGGTAATGGCCGAATATAATTGTATCTAGAACATTAGGACCTAATGGCTCCGAATCCCCATGCTGGCCAGTCCAAATGAAATCGCATGAAGAAATGGACCTTTAGACATAAAGACATATTTTTTATTCAACTTATTTTTATTGTTCCCCCTCTCTCACTTAACGTCTTTGCAAGAACGCTCTCACTTCACCAAGGATAACTGCTAGTGATGTCATTGTCAGTTTGTTGATGTCTTCAAACATAGTACATTTTAATTCTTTCAAACCTTATTTGTGGTCACGTATAAACATGATTCACCTGAAACACCTACTATCCATCATTCCTACAGACCGATCTGCAAACTGTAAGGTATAATAAAGCAGACATCATCAGCAACCTTATTATTGTCAGAACAAAGATGGGCTTTTTAACTCAGCTGTTCAAAGTTATCACATTCAAAAGTTTAAAACTTGAGAACCTATTGACCATAGGGCATCTTAGTCCATTCATATAAATATAAACCACAGTGTGCAAGAAATTACTTGAGAGTCGGGAAAGAAAGGCTCGTACCTGATAATTCCACCTTGGAGAAAATATTATTCAAGCTAGTTCTTTTATGCTTTTCCGCAGGGTTGCTGACTTCACATTTACTTATCTTTCTAGTTCTTTTAACGGGCTAAAAGACTGCAAATGTGTTAAATCACCATCTCCACTGAATGTATTTTTAGAAAAGTTTACTTTTTAAGGGTGGGGGTACTATAGTCTTTTGTGCACCCGGCTAAAATACCTCTCAACCCTTACAACAGAAAAGTCTTATACTGCATTTTAAAGACAGACTTGAAAGATTCTTATGTCTGGGTCGGTATCATTCTCATTTCTCACTGCTACTAAAATAATAGAACTAACCTCAAAACCGTAGATTCGCCATGGTGTGACTACATAATTTAGAAGACTTTAAGTGGAAGTCGCATTAATGTCTATAATAACTGTTTCCAGCATGACAGTCAGCAATATGCCGTTTAGGACTTCTGAAGAACATATATGAACAGGAGATAGAATAGTGTATTTAATATGAAAAGCAAGTGGTTACAAGGAGCGACTACATGCGCATGCCTGAGCTATCGAATGTACGCCACCTACGATGGGGTGATTGATAACCGATACCGCCACAAATGGTTTCAGAGTCTAGAGAACAACAAATAATGTGGCTGATCCCACCAATATCCAAGTTTGTTTGAAAGGATCAGTTAGACGAACAGAAACTTGAGGTTCGGAGATTATTCGTAGAAGGTTTGCACTAATGTACATCACTTATGGTCACAGACACCAGCATAAGGTCAATGGTCGACCATTCTCACACGCGGGGAAGCAGTAAGCTCTATTAGTATTCATCGGTGATTTAAAAGCGACTGCGTAATGTAATGAAACAGCTGCTGAATATTTTTGAGTGCGTTGGTCACTTCATCGAGCATTCAAATGCCTTGACAATGACAATGACCTCAGAAGGACTGCTAATAAAATGACCCATAAACGCTAGGAGATGCGCTGATGCTGTTCAAAGAAATATGAAAGTAAATTATATGATGAGAAGACTATTACTTCATTGTCATAAATCATCCTCATAATCAAACATCAAAGTATTTTTTTAGTGTCGTTTTTATGGGAATGCTGTTTTGACCATTACGTTGCTGTTAAATGCACATACATCTAACATTCTTCATTCGTTTTTGTTTTTATCATCATTCTCTATGTTTTCCAGCCCAGATCTGGCATTTAGGTCTCCCACCAAATGTTCAGTTCTGAAATCCTCTCCGCGATGAACTGCAGCCCATTGCAAAGTTTGTTGACGTTCTTCATTGTTTTAACTTTTGTTTGCGTGGTGTTGGATGTCGATTTTTGTATTTTATTCTTTGTTTTTACCATACGCTGTTAATAACTTGTCGATGTGA